TCTGAGGGTCTCACTTCTGGCTCCTGTATCACAAATTCAGAGCTGGTCAAAGCCTACGCTGGTAAAACTTATTTTCATTACAACATGCGCATTTGCCCAAATGAACCATGGACATGATACGATTTTGACAAAGCTGAACTTGAGAGCTGCTTGATTTCCTGCTTGCTTGCTACTTGGTGCTTTGACAGCTCACCTCAAGGAGCTAGGGAGTCTGTGCTTCCAGAGTTACTATGGGCCTCTGATATCTGTCAGATTGCCTTGGAGCAGGAGACGCCAGGATTTGCAGGATCTTCAAGTCTGGGGCACCCATACTTAGCTCTGGAAAGGCCCAGATATTCACAGTCGGCACGCACTGTGTGGTGCTCAGGAAAATCGGTGCTTTCCAGTAGTCCTGGACCGCCTGGACACACAGGGAACCCTGCACCATGGTGCTTTAGGATTCCCAGAGATCTAAGTCAGCCCTTGGTGAAAGCATGGGTGCTCCTTTGCATGTGCATTTTCAAAATACAGCACATATGCAGTTGTGTCCCAGTGCTCATCAAAACTAGTGAAACCAGGAGTACGGAAATCTTGCATAAATGAGGAAAGTCTTCAAAATCCATATAGATAAGATGGATGGATGTAACACCATCTGCATGGGAGTATAACAGCCTATAAATGCTCTTCTCCTAACCATGGGGTCCATGCTTCTTCATGCTGAATTTGCAGTTTTGCAATTTCATGCAAACTAAGAACCCAGCCACATTTTAAAATATAAGAAGCCCCCCTTGAGATAGGAAGATCCGTCCTCATCCAGCTCTACTCATCACATTTGCTGTCAGGTGTAGCCCGAACCATGAAGGGATACTGGGATAGAGGATGTCACTACCTGAGTGGAGCTGAGGCAGACAGGCAGAGCAGAAAGTGCCGGAAGCTTGGTTTGCTGCTTCCCAGAGATAACAAAAGGATTTATTCACCCACACAGGCAGGCTAACAACTCACACGAAGGAGACTCAACTTCTGAATCACAAGTGGATGGTAATGTGCAAGTTATCACATTAAGTAATTCGTATAAATGACACAATTGGAGCTGCACAAATGTTTACATTTATGGATACAGACCTCCTCGCTTCCAGGCATAAACCTCCCACAAATGACAGGAGTTGGAAAGAAATGATTGTGGAGAGCAGGTTATTCCATAGTTGTCCGTTCTTCTCAAGTCTCTCCCATTCCTGCCACTGCTAGGCTGGACACTGAGGTGAATAACCATGAGGCTGTTCCATCTTGGCAATTCCTGTGCCCCAAAGAATAACCAGAGCACAGCAGCATTGTAGCCACTCATCTTCCTCAAAAATATGCCTTCATGTCTACCTGACACAAAGCTATTTTTATTTGAATGGTTCCTGATTCTACTTACTGTCTCTAAAACAAGCCCCAATCACAACTGCTAATACAATGCAAAGAGGTCTTATCTCAGAGCATATCCCTTTATATCCCTGAAACTGCCTTCTCTGGTGCCCCTGAGTCTGAGAGGCAGAAATGCCTCCAGCAGAGCAGAAGGCCAACTTCCTCACACAGCGTCCCCTCCTGCTGGCCATACAAACTCACATTAAATTCCTTGGCACCGGAGGCACTTGTGATCACCTCAGATGTTATTTATAGTGATGAAGGAATTCTGTCCTGTCAAAGGGGGTGACAAAACTGAGCAAAACCTGGGTCCCTAAGGTTATGTCTACATTAGCAGCAAGGGTGCAGGAGGAGCAGATTTGTATAGCAAAACAGCTGATGCTGAGGACTCAGTGGCCACACTGAGGATTTTTTGGTGGCTTACTTCAGATCGTCCATAGCCCAAAGCAAAGATGAACTCCCATTGATCCTTGGAGCACATTAAATGCATACCTTGCAGGCTCCTTTCAACCTGAATTGTTCATGTGGTCCTGATGCAAACTAAAGTGCTAATGCAGCTGCACCACAAGTGTCCAGAAACATGGACTCCCATCCCACCCCACTTCTGACAGAGGAAAGGGGAGTAGAGATTTCAGGAGAGGTCAGTTCCTGAATGAAACAAGGGTGAGATAGGGTGTTGGTGCCTGCACCTTGGTAACAAGACAGTGAGTGAGGAAATGGAGATGTCCGTTGTCTTGTGAAGATTTTCTAGCCTGGATTGTCCTCACCAAGGTCACGCAACTCGAGGGGGAGCTTTACCCTTCTGACATGACTGAGATTTTCCTCTGAGCGCTACTCCCACTCTCTCTCCTTCCTTCCCTTCTCCTTCCCTTGGTTGTGGCACCATGCTGCTAGCTGGCAATGGAAGACATCACAACAGCTGAGCAAACTGAGTCAGCGTGACAAGTGCTGGCTCAGCCCAGGCAGCAGGTGTATGTGTCCAGGCCTATGCTCTCCAGGATCACCTTCTGGGCCCCTCTGTTGGCGCTAGCCCCTCTGCTTTCCCCTTACGTCAGTATCCATCCTCCCAACACCCTCTTATACCCTTATACCTCTCATAACCCTCTTGCTTTGGGAACGGTGGCTGGGCAGCTTCTGCCTGCCCAGACCCAACTTTGCCCTTTTGGGTCTCCAAACTTGTCCCGTGATGCAGGGAGAACGGACAAATTCAGTCTATCCGAGGGAAAGCTCCCAGGTGCTGGTGGCGGGTGGGCTTCAGCTGCGCTCAGCGCTGGGCCGCGGCCCGGAGCAGGTCAGAGAGCAGCACGTAAACCATGCACACACATACACACGCACGTGCGCGCACACGCACACGCACACGCACACACAGCACGCACACAGAACACACATACACACACGCACAAACAACGCACGCGCACGCCCCCCCCCCACACACA